AGCACATGTTTATAATGTGAAATACCAGACAGAGTTGTCGTTTTAGACTTGAAGGTTTGAAAACATTTTTTTCTTCTAAGTACCCAAACAAAAAGAAAACTTGATAAAAAGTATGGCAGACAACGCTATGATACAGCTAAGGACAAGATAAAATAAAAAAACTGGTCGATAGTACGATATCAAACTATGATATCAAATTATTGCTGTCACTTGAATCTTTCTGAAGATAAAAATTAATCTCAACAAGCTTCAACGGGAATCAACAAATCAAATGAATGCGAGGCCAATTAAACTCCTAATTGCTGCTGTGTTTGCGGATTGTTTCGTCAAACTATCGCTCAAAATTGAAAATCTTGACATCATTTGGTTAAATCTTTTCTATTCAAATATAAAGTTGATCTAAAATTGTTTTCCATGTCTTCTAAACTAAACAACTTCATTGCTGATGTTTAAGAAACACTAAAATTAACCTTATTATCAAAAATGATGAGATAGTTTTTGCATTGAGCAAAATTATCTCAAATGTTTTCTGGCAATCAACAAAACTATCCAATTTTATTGCCCAATATTATGACGTAGCCAAGTTTTGCAATTAAAAAGGTGTGCGATTGGAATAGAAAATCGGCTCGTTTTTCAATGAGTGAAGTTTTTGATTAATATAAACTAGTACCTGCAACGCTACGATGCGTTTGAAATGTTTGTGAAATGTGGAAAAAACCGCCATAAGGAGTAGTTTTACATAGCTAATTTTTATGTGGTTCGACAAAGCGATTCTAAAAACAAAACATGTTAATGACTATGAAAATAATCCAAAAAACCATACAGATGTCCTGTCAAAACTCTGAAAAAAACTTTCATTAAAATTTTAGAAAAAAAGTTACACTTTCTGCTTGCCAGGGTTTTAAATGTTCCAAGAATTGCTCAACCCGTTCAGCAACCAAAAATTATTCTAAAAACTATATGTCCCAACGACTGTCCTTTTTTGTGTGTAGTGTGATGAAAACAAACGAACGAAATTTTACAAACTTCAAAAACTAGACATGTTCCGCTAGATTTGTCTACAAAATGATTTTTAAAGTTCTTTTGCAAATTTTACTGAAAAGTAAAAAAACTATTCATTTTTGAAGAGGCGCTACATGAAACTTCAAAAGCTAGTTTTCTGAAAAAAAACTGAGTTTTTACGCCTTGAAAAAAAATTTTTCTTTGAAAGGGCTTTAAAATGAGATATCATTTATCACAAATCCAAAGAAAACGCTCCTTTTTACTTCCAGTGGTCGAAACAAAAAAAGTCAAATCAAAACATTCTTCTTCTAAAATTTTGAAAAATTTGATGCATAGAAGATAGCTTAAGATCAGTTTTGTTGGAAGTAAAATGGTGACTCAATCACCACAAAAAACGAGGATAAAATTTGAGCAATCGGTAAAAATTGAAGGAAAATTTTTAGCTAGATTTTAATTGTCTCGTTGCATTTTAAAATTTGCAGCAAAACTAATAGTTTGTCAACATTTAAGGCTTCTTACAAAGAAAAGTAAAAAACAATTTTAAGTGAAGATTAAATAATGATGATATGAACTTATTTTTGGCAAGTTCTGCAAATTGGCGAGCCAACAACAAACCGCCTAACAAAACTTAGGCAAAACAAAATCAAATAGCACATGTTTATAATGTGAAATACCAGACAGAGTTGTCGTTTTAGACTTGAAGGTTTGAAAACATTTTTTTCTTCTAAGTACCCAAACAAAAAGAAAATTTGATTAAAATCATGACAGACAACGCTATGATACAGCTAAGGACAAGATAAATTAAGAAATTGGTCGATAGTACGATATCAAACTATGATATCAAATTATCGCTGTCACTTGAATCTTTCTGAAGATAAAAATTAATCTCAACAAGCTTCACCGGGAATCAACAAATCAAATGAATGCGAGGCCAATTAAACTCCTAATTGCTGCTGTGTTTGCGGATTGTTTCGTCAAACTATCGCTCAAAATTGAAAATCTTGACATCATTTGGTTAAATCGTTTCTATTACAATATAAAGTTGACCGAAAATTGTTTTCCATGTCGTCTAAACTAAAAAACTTCATAGCTAATGTTTAAGAAACACTAAAATAAACCTAATTATCAAAATTGATGAGATAGTTCTTGCATTGAGCAAAGTATCTCAAATGTTTTCTTGCAATCAACAAAACTATCCAATTTTATTGCCCAATATTATGACGTAGCCAAATTTTGCAATTGAAAAGGTGTGCGATTGGAATAGAAAATCGGCTCGTTATTCAATGAGTGAAGTTTTTGATTAATATAAACTAGTACCTGCAACGCTACGATGCGTTTGAAATGTTTGTGAAATATGGAAAAAACCGCCATAAGGAGTAGTTTTACATAGCTAATTTTTATGTGGTTCGACAAAGCGATTCTTATAATAAAACATGTTAATGACTATGAAAATAATCCAAAAAACCATACAGATGTCCTGTCAAAACTCTGAAAAAAAACTTTCATTAAAATTTTAGAAAAAAAGTTACACTTTCTGCTTGCTAGGGTTTTGAATGTTCGAAGAATTGCTCAACCTGTTCAGCATCAGCAACCAAAAAGTACTCCTAAAACCATATTTCCGAACGAATGTCCTTTTTTGTGTGGTGTGATGAAGGTAAATGAATGAAAACTTAAAAATTTCAAAAAATAGACATATTCCGCTAGATTTGTCTACAGAATGATTTTTAAATTGTTTTTGCAGATTCCATACTGGAAAGTAAAAAAACTACTTATTATCAAAGAGGCGCTACATGAAGCTTCGATACTTAGTTTTCTGAAAAATAAACTGAGTTTTCAAAGCTTGAATTAAAGTTTTTCTTTGAAAGGGCTTTAAAATGAGATATCACTTATCACATATCCAAAGAAAACGCTCCTTTTTACTTCCAGCGGTCGAAACAAAAAAAATCCAATCAAAACATTCTTTTTCTAAAATATTGAAAAAGTTTGATGCATTTAAGATAGCCTAAGATCAGTTTTGTTGGAAGCAAAACGGTGACCCAATTACCACAAAAAAACGAGGATAGATTTTAAGCAATCAAAGCAAATTAAAAGAAAAGTTTGAGCCATATTTTAATTGTCTCGTTGCCTTTTAAAATCTGCAGCGAAATTAAAAATTTAACAGCATTTGAGTCCTGTTAATAAAAAAAGTAAACAACAATTTTAACATTAATTACTGATGATATAAACTTGTTTTTGGCAAATTCCGCAAATCGATGAGTCAACCACAAACAGCAGGATAAGAACTTAGAGAAACCAAAATCAAATAGCACAGGTTTGTAATGTGTATTACCAGACACCGTTGTTCTTTTAGACTTGAAGATTTCAAAACATTTTTTTCTTTTAAGTACTCAATGAGAAAGAAAATTCGATCAGGTATGGCAGACAACGCTATGATACAACTAATGACACGATACAATAACAAATTGGTCGATAGTAAGATATAAACTCCTGGGTGCTCTAAAAATACGTCAAACATTTTTTGTGTCAAAATTCACTGGCAAAGTGTCTAAGTTTTTCTTGTGTCAAAGTAAACAAAAAATCAAAAGGAAAAAAAGTTTGTATCGGGCACTTTTCGAAAACTTTGCCTAAACTTTTGTACTGATAGCCGGTGGTGGATTTCAAATTCAACCAGGGGTGGATCTGGGACTTTCTCAAGATGGGTGTAGATTTTCCAAAAAAAATTCGAAATTTTTTGTCGCCTTTTTTATAGTTCGACCAAATTTACTTATCAGCGAGCCAAAAAATCACATCATAAGAACGAATTTGAATAACTTTCGTAACTGTTACATACTTGGTTCTAAAATATTATATAACACTTACGTATTTTCGGCTGATTTATATTTCACCCTCATTATAGTCCCCCACCTTGAAAAAGTGAACTGCTAATACAACACAAATGTTTACTCGTGTAATAAAATGTTTAAATTAAGAACTCAAAACCAACCGGACGCTATGACTTAAACTTCTAAATCTGCTCTCGCGTATTGTTGTACACTAGTTGATTTGTGGTCAGAGAACACGTTAAAATGCAACAGAAAATGAACCCTTGACTTTTAGAAGTCCCTTTTTCATAGTAAAAAGGTCAAATTTCTGACCCTTAATCTTGATCAGGGACGAATATAAGGATTTTCACGAGGGGGGGGGGGGGGCGAATTTTCAAACATTTTTCGAAATTTTGTCGACCTTTTTTTAGGTCGACAAAATTGGTTTTCGAAGCTCTCCCAAAGCAGTAAAAAGTCCGTTTTGGCCAAAATTTTTACCAAAAAATTGCGGTTTTTCGGCGCGCGCTCCCCCCCTCAAAATAAGTATATATTGGCGCCGAAGACTCCTTTAGAAAACTTTTAGGGTCGGTTAGCCAAAAATGGATTTCTTAAAAAGTACCAAAGGGGGGACGCTTTGGGTCGGTAAGGGGTCGAACCCCTGAGGGGGAAGCGTCCCCCCCCCCCCCCCAAATCCGCCCCTGATCTTGATAAAGGGGCCAAATTTCTATCTTTAACCATTCTGAAGGGATCAATTTGCATGCTGATTTTTCATTCTTTTATAATTTTACCATAATTACAGGATCTTTGTAACTATATCCCTCCCTCGGGTGCCTAGAAACGAATATCCCCCCTCCCTATAGAAATAAATTAACGGTTAAGAATATGAGAACTTTAAACCTAGAAACGAATCTCTCCCCCCTTGCAAAAAGGGGGATATAGTTAAAGAGATCCTAATTAGATATTGCTATATAGGATTTAGATAATCAACGATGAAAATCTATGAGAAAAACTGAAGCATGAAATCATAACTCGAAACAATCAAGTTGAAATCAGTTGACTTGTTTATGTAGATGTGAACAATAAGGAAGCATAGGTGAGGTCACTCATGGAAACTTAACATAAATATCAAAATCCTCATGGACTAAACTCGACCTCTCAAACTGTTTGTTCGGAAATATCTGGACATTTAAGCAAATCAAATAAAAGATTAAAACTCATTAAATATTGGTTGTAAATTTTCGCTTTATGACAATCAATTTCTATTTACTAATTCAAACTAGTTAATGTTATTGAACCGAGACACGCCATTAATGCGATTAGTTATGCAATGAAGTTTGTTTGAATTGTTCTGAGTTCACAATTCCCATTGACCCCGAAGACCCCCAGATTGCATATATATTCATCTTTTCACACGGTAACAGGGGTAGAGACAGGGTTGTTCTTCACGCAGTCGAGATATCGCCGAACTTCCCTGAAAAAATGCAATTCACGAATGTGAGAAAATTGGATTAACTTCACTGTTAAAGTGAAGAGATGAAAGGCGGAAGAATCACCTGGACAGAGGTCCTCCTTGGTTTGCTTTGCTGGCTAAGAGTCTGGTCAATCTGGCATTAGAGGGCCTCAGAATTAGGAATGTCCGCAGAATCTAAATAAACTATTTTAAGGCCGCAATAAGTAACTGTTTCTTCTCTCACCAAAAATGCCATTAACAAAAACTCAAGTCTTTTATCGGAAACCGGTGAAATTAAAATCTCATTGAACTACTGCCTTCAAAATACTGCGAAAAAAAGGTGTCTTTCGCGTGGGCTCTTGAAACCTAAGAGTATTCGAAATACGCCACATTTTCATACATTAGCCCAGCATTAGTGATTAAATAGCAGCACTCTGCTGCATTTTGAACATACAGAAGTTTGTTATCAAACTAAAGAAAACACAAATACTTGGACATGTTAAGAAAATAATCTCACTTGTTTTTTTTATAGAAAACTATTTTGCATATATGTTACTTGAAAAAAATAAAATAAAAATTATATCAAAGATATAGTGGCATGGCAACGAGAATGTCATTTATTGGAATGACTAGTGGTTATGTGGGTGTTACGTGTATCTTGAGGAAGTCGGAGTGTCCCACTTCCAACATCTCAGCCAAATGTTTGAGCACAAAGGCACTTCTGATGTTGAGAGTGCCACAACACACCACACACTCCAGTCGCACTGTCTCCTCGCTCGACTCCAGACCCCTGCACAAATCATCATCATCATTCTTCTTTGTTTAGACACCCTCTCTTGTTCAAAGAGGTGTTACAATCAAGTCAAAATTGCTTGGTGAATTTATTTTTCATATTAAAATGCTGTATCTCAGCATGATGGGGTATTAATTTTGAACGTTTTTTTATATAACATTCAACTGAGTGTCAATGAAAAAATTCCTAGCTCGAAGCCCACCGGATTTCTTGCTGGTTGCGTGAGGGTGAAACAACTTATCACACTAAAAACTACTGAAAATTGCAAAATGGTATTTCAAAAGTTACTTTGCTATTTGACTAGTGAACAAATGATGCGCATTTTGAGACATATTTTTGCGCTCAAGGAACATTTTGTTCATCACCACAATGGTGACGACTATAAACGCATGGCCCTTAATATCAGCTGGAGTCTTGTTTTATCAATTAGTAATAAGCTTAAGACTCGTCAGCTGTCTTTTGAAATACTCACTTGATAGTCTCCTGGACTGCCCTGCCTCTGAAATCGAGAACAGTCATGACACGGGCTCCCAACTGTCGAACTTTCTGAAAAAATGAGCTCATTCTTGAAAGGTCTTTTTCATTACACCCCCTCTCATCAGTATATGTTCATCTAAGTAAAGTAGCAACATGACCATATAATGATCAAGTTAAAAAATGTGAACCATGTTTTCGCAGTTTTTAAGGCCTAAAAATTGTTCTTCAGGGACCCATGTAAATTTAAAGGGCCAAACTATGATATTTATACCTTGCAGTTCAACTATTCTTACCGTGTGCGTTTCCTCCCAGAGGCATCTTCTGACAACTTGGTATATACGTTCAGTCTCCACTTCACTTTCGGCATAGGGTGGGTTCAGGATAGGGTTCCAGCACATCAGCAGACACAGTGCACTGCCACGACACTGCCGACAAAAAGTACACAGATGAACATCGTTAATAAAACTTTTCTCCGGTGCCAAAATTTCACACCTCATATATTCACGTATAGAGATTTTGTCTCAATTTTCTAGCACAGTTTGAGATTTAGATCAACATCAAAATCGTGCTTCAAAATAATCCTTTTCACCAATTTTTAATCGGTTTAATAGTAGGAGCTACACAACTGCAGGGCATTTTTTTAAATTCTAGCTGCCTTAAGTATTAATGGGGGTGCAACAACTGTTTCCTCATTTTTTTCCGCAAATTTTTTTACCCCGCCATTTTTCATACCATGCATTTATACCCCACTTTATAAATAACCCTAAAACCCAACAAATTTATGAGAATGATGAAATTAGTAACGATTTTTTTCATTAAAAAGTCGTTTGTGATAGCAGCTTATTTGAAATTTTTGTCGCATCTTTCTTTTGCTACTAGAATTTTTCCAAAAGACCTCAAAGTCGCAAAAGTTCAACCATTTTAAAAGCTGGAAGCAAAAAAGTCTGCAATTACCGCCTAACATCACTGTTGAGTAGCTGCAGTAAATTAATTGAATAGGTTAAGCACTCTCGCTTGTACATTTACCTTGAAAAATTTGAAGTTTTGCATCATTGTCAATTTTATTTTTGAGAGAAATTTGCAACAGTCGATGCATTAACAGAAATAACGGAACGAATACGACTATGAGTCGATAAAACAAAAATTTTAGTTTTTGTTTATTTAAACAAGGCTTTTGATACACTTGATCACTGAACTCTGCTGAGGAAGCTCGAGTGCTATTGAGTGCGTGAAAATTGTTACAGATGTTATGAAAGTTGTCTAACAGATCTCAAGCGTAAATTAGAATAACTGTTCTCTGATTGGCTACCAATCACTACAGATATACCTCAAGGCCGTGTTTCAGACTCTTTACTTTTTCTGGTTTATATAAATGAGATGCATCTTCGAGGATTTCATTTATATTTGACAAATATTTCATCCTGGTTTAGCCTAAAGATTCTAACTAAAAACTCAGATAAACTAACTTACTAAGTTTTTTAAAAAATGCTTCTAAAATTTGTGTCAACCTTTTTGATAAATATTATAGAGCTCAACCCTCTTTTAAGTACCTTGGTGTCATTTTAGATGCTAACTTGAAATGTTTTCAACACATACAGATAGTAAAAACGAAATGACGGAGGCATTGCGGTATAATTTCAAAAATGAGATACAACGTACCAACTGCGATCTTGCTCAAATACTATCATTCGAATAGAAAGCCCATAAAACAATATGGTTTGCTTGTATATGGTGGCACGAGTTTTGCTATTTTCGATCAATCTAATGCTCCAGCGAAAACCTTTTCGCTTTATTTACTTCATAAGGAAACATGATTCAATTACACAATCTTTTGTTGACGACAAAATAGAAACAGTGCTAGAACTATACGTGTACAGTTTGTTTAAATTTAATTTGAGATCGTTGAATCGACAATTTTTAAACAGAATTCATAAAATTTCTGTTTTCTATAAAAAGTTTGGCATTCCAAACAAAAATTTCAAAAAATACAACATTCAATCGCCCATTCTATAAAAATAAAATGAAAACTTGTTTTTATTTAAGAGAGGAGCAAAATCACTGAACATTATGATTGAAAATGATTTGTTGCCAGAGAACTTTGGAAAAAAAGTAAATAAAATAAGAAAACATTTTCGTTCATAAATGCGAAATTAACTTTTCACGGATTTAACGAAAAGGTGCAGCATGTATTTCAGTAGATATTCAGTGTAATCAAAATTTATCCAGTGTTTTAACGCTAACAGATAATCACTATAGTGTTGCGAATCTACTCCTAAAAATGAACTTCGAAATCCTTGTAGTTTTCGAGATATCGATTTTTTTTTCTTCAAAAAATCGGATTTTCGAAAAAAAGGAAAAAAATCTCGTTCTTAGCTCAAATTACCATATTATGATTAAGAAAAACTGGGCTCGTCTAACTACATCTTTTATCCCTTACTCTATTCCTTCCCAATTTTCATTATATTTCGCATTTTTAAAAACAAAATGGAAAAATTCGGTTTTTTTTGTGTTTTTTTCTTTTTGTTTATACCAGAATTATTGAGGTTAATGAGACATCGTATAAAATTATCGAAAAAACCTGACCTGAGTTTATGTTACCGAAACGTGCTAAATTTCCGAAAATCTTCAAAAAACGCTTCAAAAAATTCGATTTGCTTTCCTTTTTTATGATCCTTATCATGAATATTTTTCTCTAATATTGACTCTAATTATTTGAACAGAGGGTAGACCCTAAGTAGGAGCGCAATGCGCCTTTTGTCCATCGTTTTCAATTTTTGTCTTGAATTGAATAGTTCGATATAAATTGTTCGTAACTAGTTGAAAACAAATAGATGATTGTAGTTTGTTTCAACATGATTTTGGATAAATAATTTCTTCTTCTTCTTCTTCAACTTTTTTTACCCCCTCATATTTTTACTCCTCAGAACACTTCATAGTTTTTCAGCATCAAATCTTGACCGCCACAATCGCGCCAACGTGTTGCGAGAATGACAGCAGAGGACAGAGGTTAAAACACTATACGAATTTTATAACCGGCTACCTTAAAAAAAAAATAATAAGAATTGGCGAATAAAAAAAAGGTGGGGTAAAAAAAGAAAAAAGACCGAAACTAAAACAAAAAGGGATTAAAACATACATAGTGAAATATAAAGCATTGAAAATGTGGGAACCCACATTTCCAAACCACCAGCTCTTTTAGAAAAAATTGTCTCGTCAATTGTATTTCAAACATTTGCCATTCAGATAATGCAAACGATATAAAACGTATGAACACGAACAAGTATAAAACATTGAACTAAATTTTTAAATACAAATTGTCATAAAATCAATTTCAGACAACCTAATACGGTCAATTTTTGCGATAGAGATTGGGAAACCAGAAATTGTTAACTTTAAAAACTGAAGATTGATTTCCTTGTATCATTAGCACACAAACGAATGCATTTCATAGTCATATTAACATTTGCAATGTATAATTTTATAGTTGATGTGATGATAGATATATTCAGACATTGCGGCAGAACTAACTGCCGTGATAAAATAAGTGTTACATGAGGACCGAGAACCAAAAAATGAAAGAAAAAACTATATTTAAGTAATTACCTCCCAGGACGGTGACTTGTGTGTTTGTTTGTAGCTCAGATCCAGTAGCTCCTGGCTTCGGCATCCAATGAAACGAACCAACACTTCCAAAGACTGAAAAAAGCTACAAATCAATAATTAATAAAATGATGACTGAAAAAAAATAGTCACAAAAGATGACATCAACATTTCAACTCGTCATTCTTAGTAATTTTCGATCTTGTTAAAATAAAATATTGTGCAGTTCTTCTCAACTATAATAAAATCTGGGTACCAACTTGAGCAATAACCCACGGGTTCGAAGACTGGAATGCATATCGGGTGAGAACATCAACTGAAGTCGATTGAAGAGAATTTTTCGAGACATCGGGGCGTTCCTCGGAGTTGGGCAAGTGGTTGACAATGAGTCCCAACAGCAGAGCACAGTTGAAATGAAGACCTCCATTGTAGTCAATTGCACCTGAAGTGAGCAGCAGTTGATCCCGCAGACATGCAGCCAAGTCCACGATGGTGTCTGGCTCAAGCTACAATAGAAGAAAACAGCCTTCTTCAAGACATCAATGCTGAAAAAACTATCGCAGCGAAAAATGAAAACCAAAAATGAAAACCGAGAAAGGGTTTCACTTAGAATCATGTAGTTAAAAGTGGGAAAATAGCCCCAAGATGTGTGAAAAAGTGTGAGAGAACAAGTAAACCGAAAAACTTGATTAAAATGCTTTTTAAATTAACAATTGAGGTAACATTTGTAACCTTTCGAGTTTCAAACAAAACTATATCGCGTTGAAGCTCTTTGAACTTCAAAATATGTTCAATTTTGAAGTTTGTTTTAAAGTTAATCAGTTAGAGAAAACTGGATCATTAGGTGTTTTTTTTATTGCTGTAATTTCTTTTATTCCGCTGGGAATTCAGAAAATTAAAATCAATTTTTGAAATTCGAAGTCAATACCGTTTTTCGTGACCTTCACACTTTTACTGTTCGATACTTATGTTTACTTTTCTTTTAACAAAAGAAAAAGGCTGAACTTCAAAAAATCAAAAGGCAAACTCCGAAAAATCAAATCTGAACAAAAACAAATTTTAAGATTTTTCCTGAAAAAAAAAACAAAAAAAACAGACCTACATAACTGAAAATCTTTTTGATCGTTTACACTTAATTATCGATAAAATACATGTGCCCGAATTAAAACATAACATACAATCCAAAAAAGATGTAAAGGCTCAAAAATCAAACCGTTTTTTTTTCGTAACCAAGAAAAAAATTTCTAACTTAATCATACTATTCCAATAACGAAAAATGGGGCTTTTATGCGAACATTCGTTCGACCGCGGGGCCAACAAAAAAGCAATTGATATGCAAGTTTTTTGTTTCTGGTCACATTTGAAAAAAAAACACATTGCGCCCTACGACGTCAAGCTCAGGTACGAGTTCTTCTGAAAATTAAAAAAAAAAACAATTTTTCTCATTAGGTAGACAATTTTTTGAAATATTTTGAATTCCGAAAAACAAAAAAAAAAATTTGAAAAGATAAAAACAATTGACAGCCCACGAGCTTTCTTTGAGGTAGTCTAATTTTGTCGAACAAACACTAACACTCTAAACCATAGTTTTAAGCCACTTTGTTAGAAGGCCGAAACAAAAGTCAAAAACAGCCGAAACATGAAAATAATTTTACCATTTTCCCTTCACCGGTTTACGATAATATACGGTGCTCATTCAATCAATAGTTTGCCAATTAGTTCAGTGTAAAAATCGAGAATTTGGAACTGGATTTTTAAATGAAAAACTGAAACAAAAACTGCACTAACTTAGAATAACCGTCTCTTTAGATTGACGATCTTAGAATGCCAATTTAGAACGACGGTCTCGTTTATTTAGCATACATTCTCCCTCAAAATTAGTATAAATCAGTGCCAAAAGCGTCTTGAGACAAAGTTTTGATTTCCTGGTCGTGAAAACGGATGGCGTAAAATTGTACCTTTTCATTCGTTTACATTTAATTATTGCAAAAATTACATAAAACCGAAGTAAAACACTACATACATTACAAACATACAAACAAGTTTAATTTTAAGACATCTTAAAATATCAAATCGTTTTTCCTCGTATTTAAAAAAACTTATAGCTGAATCATGTGATTCGAATAACAAAGGGTGGAGATTCTATGTTATTATCCATTCGACCGCGGGGTCCAAAAAACAATTGATATCCAGAATTTTGTTACCAGTTAAATTTGAAAGTAGCACATTATTGCACATCATGAAGCCAAGCTCGGGTACGTTCAGGGGCGTATTTAGGGGGGGCGGACGCCCTTCTCCTCAGGGAATCGACCACATGCCGAAACAAAGTGTCCCTCTTTGTACTATTTTGAGATTTCCCTTTTTGGCTCACTGACCCTAAAATTTTTCTAAAGGCGCCTTAGGCGCCAAAATATACTAATTTTGAGGGGGGAGAAACTGTCTAAAAAGCATTTTTTCAAAAATTTGCATGCGGCGCAGAAAGTTTGGTCTTCATAGCGATTTGGGAGAGCTCAGAAGATCTTTTTGGTTGATCTAAAAAAAAGTCGACAAAATTTTCGAAAACTTTTTGAACATCCCCCCCCCTCGAGAAAATCCTAGATCCGCCCCTGAGTACTTTAGTAATGGTTTCGATTTATTTGCCAGTTGATATCGCAGTTTAGCTAAGGTAAGTTAGTTCATGTTCAAAGACATCTGCGGCAGCCAGCAAGAAGAAGCGGATTCCAGTGACAAGTTGCGGAAGCCAGAGAAAAACAGAGACAGTATACTGCGGATCCAGCGACATTTAAAGGAATTCGCTTCAACTGAGAACACGCGTTTATCGCAGAATTGCATAACAACAAATAAATGATCAAAAAAAGCATGTTTCCGGATTCCGGCTGCAAGAGTCTCCTACAGAAGCTGCTTGTAATAAAACCGAGATTGACTTCGTAAAACATGGCGAGAGGAAGGCGACCAACACTTCATCAATACTGGTTGTCAGAATTTTCAAAAACGTCTTTTTCTGTATTTATTAAAGTACACTACTTTACCTACAGATTTCTATTAAGTCGATCAAGAGGCGCCTTTGGCGTCAATATACACTAATTTTGAAAATTTAAAACTTGCCGGAAAAAAATTGTTTCATGACAAAACCTTCCAAAAGTGTCACAGAAGATTTTTGTGCATTATTAGGAAGATAAAATCATATTTACAATAAAATAAGAAACGAAGTAGAACTAAAGTATTTAAAGGGCGTCATCGAATTCAGTGTGATCGGGTTGGTCTGAAAACTGAAAAAAAAACTTTCTCGACCTTCAGGTTTCACAAAAATAAAGGTTTTACCTAGAGGCGAAGCTGCGCTTCGCAAACATTTGCGAGAACACGACCAAAAAGCAGCTCTATCAAATGAAATAAGAAAAAGTAGAATTAAGCCTCGAATTAGCAAAAACAAGGCTACGTGTAGGATTCGAATCTGCGGCCTACTGCAATCAAGAGATTTTGAGTCTCACTTATTATTCACTCAGCCATGCAAGCTTAACAACCGACAAAGACTAGTCACGAATAGAGCAGCTACATATGCAAATAACTTGCCAGAGCCATTCAGCAAAAGTTGCACCAAATAAAAATCGACTCATTTTTGCATGTTATAATTTGGAATATTACAAACTGAAGGCAGCATCCACGCTGTTATTGCATGTAACTAATCGCAAAGCATAAAACTACATTATGTATAATTTATGGATTTCGAAAAACTACGAGATATACTGAGTTTTCAAAATTGTTATGTTGTTTGAAACAAATAAATTTTTTCGGTTCACTTAATAAATTAAAAATGCATCAAGTGTGTTCACTTATTAGGATTCGAATATCAAACCACATGCTATCAAAAAGCTGTTAAGATTCCCCACCATTATTGGGGTGCCGCATAATCAAGGTGTCGCGCCAATATTTGCGACTTAGGCTAGAAAAAAGAAGATTCGTACTAATACACTCGCTTCGCAAGTGTAACACAGAGGCAAAGTAGCATCGCATACACAAGCAAAAGTATGACCGATAATGCTACTGGGAAAAACTGAATGAGTGAAATTTTGAGTCTAAAAAATTTCCTAAGGGACACACGCCAATTATGAGTCTAGATAATTGCTAAGTGATGCAAGCCAATTATAACGCATTAGCAGCACCAATCAATTAGTAAAAAAAAGAAATTTTACCAACTAACATGCCTCAATTTATAGAGCGAACGCATTCAAACTAGTATACAAAAAATTTCATTGAAAACATCCGACCCTGTCTAGGTTCGAACCCTCTTATTTTGTTGCTAGTCTCCTTCCCTACCTCTACGCTACAGACTCATGATACATTGAAGCCAAAGTGCTATTTGTAATTTAATAGTCTGGGTTAATATCCTTAGCATTGGCAGTACTTAATAGCTGGATCAAAATGAACACTTTCAAAGTGAGCATTTTGTCGCAACAATTGCATCGCTACAATATTTTCGATTTAGGTTGGAAAAAAAAGAAGTTCATAATATAGCACAAGCTATGCAAACAATTGACCCTCGACGAGCTTTCTTTGAGGTAGTCTAAAACTGTCGAACACACACTCTAAATGATAGTTTTTGCCACTTTCTTAGACGGACGAAACAAAAATCAAGAATATGAAAATAAACTAACTTTTTTCTTTTCACCGGTTTAAAATAATGTATTTTATAAATTCAATCAATAGTTTGCCAATCAGTTTAGTCCAAAAACCGAAAATAATGAACTGGAAGTTTTGACTAAGAAAAACGCGTTTATTTAGCGTACATTATCCCTCAAACTTAGTATGTCTCAGTGCCAAAAGCGTCTTTAGAAAAAGTATAGATTTCTTTCAGTCGTGGAAATGGTTGCCGTGAGATTGTAAGAGAGGATGTTCGTAGTCCTTCGGTGGTCATAGGCTCGTTGCCCGAGAAACGCTCAAAATCAAAGTTTTTATTTTTTTAAGCTTTTAAATAGTTTCTGTGTTCGAAACATTCTGTTTATTTTGATCAGAAACTGACTCCTCTTGCTATCCTAAATTAGATGCGACCATCAAGACTTCAACTGGATACAGCCAAGAAATTTTAGCTAATCATTATATATTATTTTTAACAGCCAGATCACGCTAGCTATACGAGTCAAAAAATGGCATCTTCAATATCTTCAATAATAACAATATCTCACAGAGAACTTTTAACATTAGAGAGACGAGTCGCCGCTTATTGTAATGCGATAAACTTCTTTACTAGCAGACAAAACTGAAACAACAATCATCTCGACGAAAAAAAGGTCGAAATAATCGCGAAAAAAAATTTAAAAATTTGTCACGAATGATGCTGTCTCGAATGATCAATTTGAGGAAAACACGTACAGCAATACGATCGGCGACGTAGAAAAAGTTCCAGCGAGCAGGTCATCGAAGCCAATGAAATTAAAATAAACTCCCTTTGAGCCAAAAACAAAATTGTTGTCATGAAAAATTTTGAGCTATGAGGTTCTGAAATTGTAAG